TCTTTGTAATAAAGGTAAAATCCATACTGTTACAATTTTTTTACATAAAACATTTGCATATGGATTTTAGTAGTACATAACTGCAACAGTTGAAATAAACAAGGTAAAATAAAAACTGGCATCCATGCTTAGTTTAATCAAACGTAAATTTCATATCAGATAAAACTACATAAGACTAGTGAAAGTTAAAACCATAACCTGTTGGGGAATAATTTCGTTATTTACACAAAACTCTACTTCTGACATTGTATTTAATAGTACTCACCATAGGAGGTTGTGTATTTTCACTGCTGATAAGAGTACGATATTTACACATATTTCGAGAAGGGTCCATGAGATCACTCAAATCCTAAAAAACAATTTGATAAACAAAATTAAACTGAAGCAATGAAATTAAAATAGTTTTAGAGTTAATGTTTTTGTATTATGTTAATACCTTTTACTTTTTAAATGTATAAATGTAATAAAATCCAGCTCGTCTGGTTAATTCCTTTTGTTGAAATTCTTACCTTAAACAACTTGGAATATTTAGAAGGTAGTTTCTCCCAAGTGGACCTTAGTCTTGATACTGCCCCATGGTCAAGTCCACTCAAGATGGCAAACATGGAGTTGAAGTTCTTGCAGTCTTTACACTGTCCTAAACAATAGGTCAATGTAACTTTATTTAAGTGGTTATAAATAATCATCTGACTATTTCAACACTTTATATAAAAAATTAATACATTATAATAAAAAAGAAGAAAAAAATTATAAATGACCAACCCTAACATTTTGAATTATAAGTAAGATGTAAGTAAAACAAGGGCAATACTTCAGATCAACGTCATCGTTTGGTTATATATAGAATTATAAGTTAGATGTAAGTAAAACAAGGGCAATACTTCAGATCAACGTCATCCTTTGGTTACAATTAGAATTATAAGTAAGATGTAAGTAAAACAAGGGCAATACTTCAGATCAACGTCATCGTTTGGTTACATATAGAATTATAAGTAAGATGTAAGTAAAACAAGGGCAATACTTCAGATCAACGTCATCGTTTGGTTACATATAGAATTATAAGTAAGTATATATATATTTAAAGCTATTCATGTTTATTCATCATCTATTCAATCTTAATGCGACACAATGATTTCAAAACATTTATTATTTAATTAATACTTACTTGCCACTTTAATGAACTGTTTGATTATTTTCATTCTTCTCAAAAGATTTGGTTCACTGCAAACTTCAGTTACTACCCAAAACATTTCTCTGTTCACAAGCTGTGGACAAAATGTTACTCATTATTATTCAACCTAAACAACTTATGTAGCCCAACAATAATAGTTAATAGTTCTTGGTGATATTGTACGGGTTAATAATAGTTAGTAGTTCTTGTTGATATTGTACCTATTTTACTGATTACAAAGTACTGTGTATTGTATTGTACTTTTTATACGTGGCAAAGTTACAAAGGCTATCTGCCACATTCCCTAATTTTGATATACTGACAGCCCGTCAGCAGCATCCTACCACCCCATGCTAAAGAATTCACTAATCACTATATAATGTATCCATAGTGTGGGATATACTTTGCCAACTCCAAAATTCAGAGTTCTAGCAAAAGGCCAATCTATGCCCCTTCATTATCATCTAAAATACATTTATTCTCAGCTTCAAATAGAAAAAAATGTTTCCTACTCATTGTCTATAATATTTTCCCACATTAATAAAGGTGATACATTTTCTGTAGCTCTTTCAGCAAAATGTATTATGTTTCATTCAGAATCTTTTTCTCCACAACTTGTGTTACATCCAATAAAGAAATTGTTTTACATGATAATTAAATGTGATGCCAATAAATTTTTTTTTTTAGTATGGGAAGAATCATACAAAGTCAGGTCGACTTGTGAACGGTATTTGTTGTTTTTTAACCCATTGACTGCAGCTGCTCTAAATGCATGCAGAATTTTTGCAAGCCATACACCATATATGGCACACTCGCACTTAACTGCTAGAGGCAAACCATACCCCGTAAGGCAAATCAGCAGTCAAAGGGTTGATTATCAAATATCCATATGCTTTTTCTCATGAAGATTTAGATCTAAAAATACTCAACAGAGAGGCTGTAACAATATCAAGAAACATAGAAAAATGACAGATGTGTGTACTAAAATCCTTGTTACTTTACTGAAAACACTACCTAAATCTTTTACTAAAACTTTGGATGTAGACTTTAAAGTTCCTCTTTTATTATACAAGAAAGGCATATCTTTCAGTTACCTCACCAAACTTTGAAAGCATTGGCGTTCCATATTTAGACTTAAGTTGAAACAAGTCTTCAATATACTCTGTAGGCTCAATTTGGCAGAAGATGCTGAAGTCTTCCAAGGTGAGCTGGGTGGCAACTTCCACACTATTTAACTGGAGAAAGTTAACTTGACTCTCCCGAAGGAGTTCCTGTGGTACGAGAGACGACACTGCCGTTCATTTTACATCCAATGTTGGTACAAAAACAAAACAATCAAGGTAAAATCCTTTTTTGATATAACAAAGTAAGAATTTATAGGAATGTGCAACTAACATGAAATAAAACCAAACAATCAATGCTTCTTAAGTCATAAATGGACACAGCTGTTACAAAGAGTTGTTCTAAACATTACGAAAAAAACCCATTAATCAGTGACGAATGTTGTAAATTAACTCACCCCTGCTAAATCATCAGGTACAAGAGCTTCGGTTGATGACTTATTCTTTAAGTAGTAGCGACTGCTGAGTCCAATATGCTCGGCCAAATTGTGCATCTGATCAGGTAACCGTCGTTGCTTAATGACACCTCCTTCTCCACAAGTCACCTCACATAGTGAGTATTTGCTATAATAAAGAATAAAATTAAAGAAAAATTACTGTATGTCATTTAGCGGATTAACATTTTCCTTCTGTTCACTAAAATTAATGGATCTACTAGAAACATACTGCTAGAGCCAAAATTGCATTTCCAAAAGATTTAATTTGCACTTGTTGGTCTCAATTTTTTGTTTGTTTTATTTAACCATGTTTCACCGTCATATTGAAATGACCAAGTTTAATCTTTTTTTTTTTCAAAGTATACATTTAAGTTAATGGTCCACTGGCCTAGCTAACTATTTTAACAAGATGTGTCTAAAGCTGCATGAATTTGATCAGGTTCAAAATAAATATTAATTTAATAAATTCTTACATACACAAGTTTACTATTGATGATTAGATCAAACATAAGATCAGAATTATAAATACTTATGTTCCCATATTTCGATTACTAATGGTTAGTTCCAATGCCTGTGAAACATACATGTACTAATTAGTCCAAAAATAGGCCACCCATGTCTAAAACAAACCCTTTATCTAAAACCCTTCTTCTTACCTGCTCGGGTCTGTGATTCCAAACTCCCGGAGGGATAACATCACCACCTCTCTAGAAGTAGTTTCCTGTAATTAATGTATCATAAATAACTAAACACATTCTACCAGGAAGATTAGGATTCATTAATTTACACACTGACATCGAACTTTATAAAATTGTATTTGTACTACTAATCATTTTAACTGAGATCAGCTGACATACACACATAGAAAAGCAACTTACACACCGACATCAAACTTTATAATATTGTATTCGTACTACTAATCATTTTGGAGATGACACAAACTAAAGTTTGAGATCAGCTGACATAAACACATAGAAAAGCAACTTACACACCGACATCAAACTTTATAATATTGTATTCGTACTACTAATCATTTTGGAGATGACACAAACTAAAGTTTGAGATCAGCTGACATAGAAAAGCAATTTTGAATTTTGCTCATTAAAAAGTTGATACTGAAAAAAAAACATGGATTTTTTTTACTGTAAAGTTATAACAATGAATAAGCACAAGTTTGAGTCTGGATAGTGTTTTTGTACCAGTGGCTTCTGCCACAGAGATTCAAACCAGGGAACATCTGCTTACAGGGTAAACATACGAAAGGTACAATCAACACACCTTATGAACAAGTAAATATTTAAAAGTTTGATCTGTTCTATACACTTTAAGCACGTGCTCAGGAAAGTCTGGCCACATCTGTGGTTCATAGTATGCTGACAATGATGCTAAGTCTGGATTGCTGTGACTATGATGAAGGTTTCCACCGCCAGAGGATCGCTTTGGAGATGCTGCCCTCTGGTAGTTTGTTGGGTCATTACTACTCCCACTCTTTAAGGAAAACATGCTGTCGTCAGAACTGTTCAATTGAGCTTCACTGTAACAAAAAACAAACACTGCACGTAGGAGCATACAACATCAATCTGAAAGTTACCAGTTGATAAAAATCCTAACTAGATACAAAATTACATAAACACGTATGAATCTATATAAATATAATAGTACTGTCTGTTGTATGTCCATGTAACTACTTCTGTATAAATATAATAGT